ATTCGAATGGTGGTGGTTTCATCGAATTCTGTCCAGTGGTTCAAGAGTTATGATCGTTTTTGTAGGTTAACAATAGTTAAAGCATAAGAGTTGGAAATAAATATAAGCACAGAAAGTGAATTATAAACAGCAAATAGTTATAGTCTTAGAATAATTAAACTAGTAAAACTATGACTGTAAAAAAGAAGTAGAACCAAAATAAGTAAAACAAAACTAATATACCTAGATTAGTTACTTAATACAAAAAGAAAAAGAATAATAATATAACAACAATTTAAAAGCTATTAAAAATAATCAAATAAAGGCAAAAAAACAGAGTAGTTCAAGATAATAGAAATAAAAGTGTTTAATAGATTTGAAAACAGAGAAGATAAAAAATAATTTAAGACAGACAGATATAATATACAGATAATAAAGATTAAGTAAAGAAGTTTGTCAAAAAATAGAAAGAACAGATAGTATATAATGCAATAGATGATAGGCAATTAGGAAAAATAGTTAAAAAGAAGAAAAAGAAGCTACTAATAGAACACTAGCAGATGCATGATATTGAAAATGATTTAATAACTAAAATCAACAAATATAAGAGGTATACAAAAGAAGAAGAAGCAATAAAAAATAGCTATTAACATTAGATAAAATTAACAACAAGACAAATATAATTTCAGATATGCTAGTAAAAAAAAATAACATCATAATTAAGACAGCTACCAATCAACTAATAGGATATATGAAAGCAAAAAAGTTGAAAAAAAATGAACAAAAGCTAATAGAACTTAAAATATTAAAAGATTTAGAAATAGAACTAGTTAGAAAACAAAACTAAAAGAAAATATAAAGAAGAGACAATAAATATAAACATGAATATAAGATGAGTACAAATAAGTGAAACACAAGATTAGTCAAAAAAAGGATAGCATTATGAATAAAAGAATGACCTATATCTACTACAGCTGAAATGCCAGCAATATAGATAGTAATTTTAACAATACCAAAAAAAAAAACTAGACATATGCACAGATTTGTAGAATTGATATAGATCATTGTTGCACCTCAAAAATTTAGTTATACAATATGCAGAGTGTGTCAGCTAATTGACATAATATATATAATTATTAGTGATCATACGAAAGTATCGATATAACATGTTGTCAGCTTGCATTCGAATATGAGATTCTCTGAAAAAATACTAGACATAAAAATTAATATTTCTTTTTATAGACTAGACAATATTTCAAAAGGAGGATTTGGCTCAGCAACATAGTTAAATGATAAATAATAGTATCAGATAAATATAGATGCAATAAAAGCTCATATTACTATTATTCTTAAAAAACAAAAAAATAAATTTTACTTTATTTGCTTGTAATCTATATTTAAATTAGGTTGGCAATTGGAGCTTAGTAGTTATGCAAATGAAGCTTAAAAAATTGGTATAAATTGGCTTTATTGGGCTCTATTAAATTTTATTGCCAACTTTGCCATTTAAAATAGTTTTTTATATATTACTCAAAATTACTCTATTATTAAAAGAAACATAATTTATCATATTTTATAAAATGACATATATGAATTTTTTCTGTTTAAATTAAATTATTTAATGTTAAATAAATAGAGTTAGAGGTTTCAGTTTATTTTCAAGAAGTGCTATTATAAAATGCAATGCAGGATATCTGAAATCTTGATGAAAGTTATTTATTTTTATTACATGGCTTCTATTGTTTACTAATAACTTTTTTTATTGATATTTTCACGAATGATATTTTCACAGCTGATATTTTCACAGCAAACTTTCTTTTTATCAGTTTTTTAGATTGTATTATTGTTGTTCATAAATTACTATAAAAAATGTAAACAGAAAAGAAACCTTAAAAAAAAAGAAATATTATTTGCCATGAAGTGAAGCCATGAAAATCTTGTGGAAAATGATAGTTATAAAGTCATAGGTGTTAGAATATATAAAATAGCTATCACTTATTTGTCATCAAATACCTATTCATCTTAATGTAAATAGGTACCATAGTTTTATGTTATTTATTATAATGTACTTTATTTTTAATGAATAAAAGGTTACATATACATAATAAAAGTATAATTTGTAAAACATGAAGATTAATCTAACCAAAAGCTCTTGGCAATAAAACAGTCTTACATGCTGATTACATGTACAGTACTATATAATTATCCTTTCTTTACACATTCTGTAATAATTATAGCTATCTCAATAATAATATGCAATTACAATATTAACTGAATAAAAAACCTGCTTACAACTAGACAAAATAGTAATAGATACTATTAGTAATTGATCTAGACATTCTAACAACTCAACAATAAAAAAATTAACAGATGCACCTACCAGTCATAAGAAAGTAATAGTATTTTGATCTTAGCATGTAATGCAAGATATCACATCTTAAAAAGAGGCAAAATTGTTGACTTCCTGTAGATGTTTCATAAAGAAATAATCTTTGTTAGTTTCAATACTACTTTAATAATGATCAACTTCAATTGTTTTTTACCAAATTTTATCTCAACAGATTTTCAAAAATAAATGAATGCCTTATATTTATCATTTTCAGTTTTGAATCTATTTTTATAATAAAGACCAACTATATTTGCTGTAAGAATATAACCCATCATGACAGACATTTGGAAATAAATAAATATTTTACTTTTATCCTTTTTAACCCTAAATCTATCAATATCTCTCATGTTTGCAGAGTTTTGATAAATAAATTGCTTGCACCTGTTCTTTTTAACTTCAATGTGAGAAAGAAAAAGATAATTAAATATCACAGCTGATGCTGAAATTTGAAGTCATGATTTGAATATATAAGCTCTGCTAAAATCCACATATACTTTTTAATTATAAATTCTAACCATAAACCCTAAACCCAATTCAAAAAAAAAGCAGACAAAAACATCTAAAAAACTTTAAAATTCATATCAAAATATGCCCAAATTTCAGTATCAGCTACAACATTAATAATATTAATAATCTTAGAACACAGCATTGAATCAATAATAGTACTACACCTTTTGCTGTTCTTTTAATTCTCCAAATTTTAGTACTACAAGTCAAAAGAGATCTATTGATCCAGATTTCTCTCCATTTCCACTATTGAAGAAAAAAAAATATGTTAACACATAATACAAATCAAATAATTATATAAAAAACATTGGAAATATAGAAACACCTAAACCAGTAAATCTTCTGCATTTACTTCTGCAAAATAATATATTATGTTAATATCTTTAAATACAAAGAAATAAGTATGCATTTTGATCAATTTAAAAAAAAAACAAAAAAAACAAAAAAAAGCCAGATAGTAAATCATATGATCAGAATCATGATTTTTTTGTATATATAATAATTTTGTCATATGAATAATATCTTAAAAAGAGAAAAATAACATGATCATTAATAATAGTGAGCTTGACTGCACTCTGATATATTCTGATAATGGTGTTCAACATAAGAAGCAGACCACTTAAAATGTATAAAAGGCAAAAATAAAAAACTCATACCTAATATTAGCAAATGTAAAAATGTAATCTAAGACTTTAAAAAAGGCTTACCTATAATAATTGCATATTAAATAATAAACTCTAACATAGAATTTTTATTTAAAAAAAATGGTTATTAATTATGAGTTAACAGCTTTGTGTGATAATAATACTTCATAAAAAATAATACATTTAGTTTATTTTTGTAAAAAATACATCCTTGGTATTTAAAATAATAATAAAAATTTTTTTATTTATTTTTTTATTTATTTTTTTTTTTAGCTGAAATATTATAATCTCATGGTAATTTTAGTTGGAGTGCAGCTAAATTTTGGTAAGCATTTCAAGAAATTGGACTCTGGTCGATAACTTTTATGAATGCATCAAAAGAGCTGTTTTTTTCTTTATTATAATAATTGGCCAAGTAATTCTTATCTTGAACATAAAAATCGAACTTGTAAAACTGATTAATTGATTGAAATAAGTTTGTCTAGATAGCAAAAAGAGTTAAATTGGTTTTACGATCATTTATAAGCTTGTAAAGTGAATAAAGTCCTACAAACAGTTAATTAATATAGTTCTTTCTTTACTAAAAATAGCTTTAAAATTATAAAATATCATTTCTTTATTAACTTTCATTAAAATATAAAACCAGACTTTGGCTAATTAATTATCTATAAATATACCATATTAAAAAAAGCATGTGATTATAGGTTATATATGACAAATTGATTATGAGAATTTAGATTTTAGGAAATTAATTGATTATATAATTAATTAATCAATTATAATCAATTTTTAAAAAAAATTTTGGTCAATTAATCGATTGCATTTTTTGAAATACTACTGAGAGCATCAAGAGCAGTTTCATAGACAAAATTTTGAAATATAAAGAAATTTTACTTAATTTTGTTAATTAACCTGTTATGCATTTTGGAAGTTGTAATTTAAACTAGCTTACACAAACCTTAAAACTTAACTTTTTTGTATCATTTGGATCTATAAATTATATTGCATTTTCATGTTTTATATCTGAATACTAAATTTTTTTTTTTACTTTTATTATGATGTCTCTTCTTAACTAAAAAAAATATCCTGAAAGTAATCCTTTTTTAGTTAAACAAAATAATACTATTTACAAATATCATATTATTAATAAAGGATTTTATCTACTAACAAATAAACTATGCTATACTTTAGCATATTCTTGTAATAGGAATCAATATAAAATTTCAGATAACTATTAGTTCAAACTAGTTAAGGAAGAGAAAAATCAAAGCATATGATAGAATGTGAAATTAAATATGAGTTAATTGAACTGATTTTTAGAATTAGATTTCAAGAAGATTCTCAACAACATATTATAGAATCTAAAGAATTTCCAAGTGATGCTGCTAATAATTATTTACAAGTCTGTTCAAATTCTAATAAAAATTTTTATCATAAATATTTAATTTAATTATTTTTTATTTTATTTATTTTATTTCTGTATAGAAAAAAATTCAAATAATACATGTACAAAAATATCTGATATATATGTATTTTGCCTTAATGTTCTAGATATAGAAAGAGAATGTGAAAGAAAAAATCGATCATCTTATTTTAAACTATTTAATGTATTGAGTGAATCTATGAAAACAAAACATTCTCACACATTCTCTAAAAAATTAGATAATGTCTTTAAAAATGAGGTTTTTAACTTTTTTAATCTAATCGATTGACTAATTTTACAAGAAGTTTAATTTCATGTTCATAATAAGAATTACTTGGCCAATTATCATAACAAAAAAATAACTCTTTTGATACATTCATAAAAGTTATTGACCAAGGTCTGATTTCTTAGAACACTTATCAAGATTTAGCTGCACTCCAACCAGAATTATCATGAGATTATAATATTTCAGATACAAGAAAAAAAATAAATGAGGAAATGAATGAAAAAATTTCTATTACTGTTTTAAATATTAAGAATATATCTCTTATAACAACTAATGAAATGCTTCATATTAATGATCAAGACATTGAAGAGAAGATGTTTCGATATATTAGAAAAGCCAGATACAGCTAAATTGCAGACATTTTGCTCTTCATAATTCTAGGTTTCATTGAAAAAAATATTATTAGTACAAAGAATCCAGTAATTCATGTCATTTATCAGGTAGAATAGTAAATGTTTTTAAAAAAAACCCCACAAAAAACTAAAACCAGTATGGCTTACTTTATTGACAATTATTTTATCAACAGCTTATTTAGCTTAACATTACAGGAGTTAGAATTAGCATTTTATTAGTTGTTTAGATATATATCTAGTAAATTGTCATTTGGTACAATATCAGCTAAATGAACTGTCAATGAAATGATTGTTAGTAAAGTAAGACAGACTTATTGTAAATAAAGATGTTTAAGTTGTTTTTTTATTATCCTAAATATTAGGAGATGAATGCAATATTGGTAGAAAAATCAAGCATGTTATGATGACATGCATTATTCTAGATGATATTTCAAATATTCACAAGGCTGATTCACATTATACTGTAATTTTATATCTAGAAGATAAAAACTACAAGATGTTGCATCAAGTAATAGAACCATTAATTAGTGAACTGCATAGCTTAATAGTAAATGAATTAGAAAATTCTAATAGAATCAAATAGAAGGTTAATTTATATTTCAGCAGTGATTGGAAATTTATAGTTACTATATTAGGATTTAAAATGTCCAATGCCAACTGTTTTTGTTCTTGGTACCTATGCATAAAGAAAGATATTGATAATAAAAACAAGGTATATAGGATTGAAAAAGGCATGAATCAACTTAAAAAAGAATTCTTTAAAAATTATATTTTAACTTTAAATTTACTACTACCTGGACATCTTAAACCTCCTTTTCTTTCAATGATACTATTAAATCATTATGTGCCTGATGAACTTTATATAATGTTAAGAATTTAAGATCAGTTTTGAAAGTTAGTGATCCAAAAATTAAAGTCTGAAAATAAATACAATAATTATACTAGAGCAATTATAAGCATAGAAATGAAAAGAATTTCAGTCAGCTTTTAATTTTGATAGGATCATAGTATGCAGAGTTGGTTCTATACACCTCTTATAGGAGGTGATAAAGAAAAGGATTTTTTTTTTTGGTATTAAGGTGACCTCTTTGGTTTTTTAACTTTTATTAATTACTTATTGGTATTGTAGTTCAATGAACCACTACATGAGAGCATACAATTGGCTACATATGTAACTTTTCTATATTACCTATTTAAGGAGTCTGCCCAAAGGTTTCCTACCAA